ATAAGCGGATGATGGATTTTGTGGCCAGCCAATTGAAAGGAAAAGCGCACTAGAATATATCTTTAGAAATTATTTTCACTTTCATAAGAAAGCAAAAGCACAACAAAAACTGCTATTTGGCCAAAGAACTTTCTTTGGGGGGTGGAGTGGACAAGAAGCAAACAGGAATATTTGCAAAGAAATAAAGCCCCAAAGAAATGTTTCAACTTTTTTGGACTGCATATGTATATTAATGGATTGAAACTTGCTTTTGGCAAACACTATATTCCTTGCTTAATCTTGTTTAAAAAACAAGAATTCAAATAAATACGCAATTAATTAATGTATGTACGTCAGAGACAAGCCAGAGTGACATTCTCCTGATCTGATCTTAGGATCTATCTGTGGCGGGCCATAAAAGGAAACCTTTTAGGCGAACGACTAAAGCGGACAAGTTAATCTGGTAGCCTCCTTGCCCCTGAACCAATTTGTGTAAATTGACATTCAAATGTCGTTCTATTTCGCAAATAAAATGAGACCCAAAAATGTGTATAGTCTATAAACTTTTTAATGACCTTCGCGCGGCAGACTCAATCAATATTTATAGATTACCAGCAGAAGCAGCCACCAGGCACCAGCCACCGGGCAAGACAAGACAATAAGTGGATTTTTAGAGGAAAGTTAGCTTTGCGTGTGGCACAAACAATAATCAATCTAATGGACCAACGTGGTCCGGTCCATCTGATGTCCATTGCTTATTTATTTATTATAAAAGAGTTTATTTTTAAGAGTTTTGCGTAATCGCAGGCGGCGTCTCCGCATACTCTCAGTTTCGATTTCGAAGTTTTTCTCATCAAATACCAACGGAAAGTCTTAACTCTTAATTTCAATGTAGAGAGAGGCTGGTTACGCGTTCATTGACGTTCGATTTTGATTGAATATATTATGCAAAATGTTGGCAATTAATCTCTAGGGGCCACAGCCGCCTAAGAACAGGTCTATTGCCTTTTGTTAATGAAGCAGCCAGCCAGCCAGCCAGCCAGCCAGCCAGCCAGCCATCGGTTCTGACGGTTTTTGGAAATTAACTTTTTCAGATTCTCGTTCTTCATAGCATTCATGTTCTCAACTGTACGTCTGGTATCGTATCCACACTATACCCACTATATCGTAGCATTTTATGCAAATGGAAAATCTTGAAACATCTTTGAAACGAAATTAAGCAAAAATGTATTCTGTCTTTGGTTTCTTTTTTTTTTTGCTGAATTTATTTATGTATTTATTTTTAATTTATTTGCTTAAATGTATGTCTCCTTTTATATATTTTATATATTTTGTGTTATAATCTTCCGTATTTCGGACCATTCGGAAGATTGTTCATGCTAATTCCCCATGAAATAACGAATCTTAAATCAAATTTAATTACAAGACTGCTCCAAAATGTGGGGAGGGGATTAATCAACTGCAGGCTGTCCATCAAGCACACAGCGCTCGACAATTTTCACACACAGTTTAAGTTTAGTTTAAGCTGCAAAGTTCCTAATCCGTTCCGTGTAATAACTGTACTAAGCGGCTCTGTGTTTGTCATGCTAACGGCATGTGAGGTCATATTGAGAGTGAGAGACGGAGCGATCTACAGGGGGGGTATTGTATTGCCATAATAAAAACCGTAAATAAATTTTGCGTTTAGCACATATCTTTGTGCAGTCTTAGCAGGCCAGCCCCAAGGCTGCGCGCGATTGAGTCAGTCAGTCATGAGACAGGCATCCGGTTTGCTTTGAATTTGTTTTGTGCTAATCAGATCTGTAGCGAATCCCAACTATCTTCAGGCGGATTTCACGCCTCAACAAGTCCTCACAAAGTCCGACAAAATATATTGTTCTCTCTCTCTTTTCAGTTGCTTCCTTTCGATAATGTCTTTGCCAAGTCAGGTCTTAAATATGTGGGAGTGTGTGTGGTCCATATTTCTCTCTGTCTGTCTTAATTATGCCTTTATAAGTCGGGTGAACATTAATATATTTCAATTTGTTATGGTTACCATTTAAAAGAGTTTTTAAGTAATCGAATGAATAAGCCCCCGCCGGACCAGATGTGTTGACAAAATGATCTAATACTCGTGATTTTGTTAGGGGTTTTGTTTTGTTTTGTTTTTTTTTCGAAAGTTTTGAAAGGCAAAAAGAGCCTTCAAAAGATCAAACATTGAATGGCAGTTAAAATGAACAATTAATCAACTAGAGTGTGGTTGGAGGATGTCACAGACCTAGTATGAGACCTTTAAACAAAAATGGAATTTTAAGCGGCTGTAATCTAACTAATGTGCATAATAAAAGTGGGACTTAGTATATATTATGGGTGGGGGTTTTAAATTACTACTCGATGTGGGTTTGGTTTTGGGGTGTGTTTTGCATGAAATTTGTTTGAAATGAATATAGAACTACACATGGATTTCCCTTCTTGCAATTTTCTATTCATCATTTTGCATTTGTGCTCCAATCTTGACATCTTTTGTCTGCAATTTCCCAATTTCCTAATGACATGAAAACCTGACTTCCAAATCGTTTGACTCAGCCTCCGCCTCCCAAACGTCATAATCTGATGCCATATCAATTGTTACTCCAGACAACCGATGCATATCCATATACCAAGCATTGCCTCAGAAGCCTGCCTACAAAAGCTTTTGTGTTTTCCCCAAATGTGCAGCGCCATGGGAAAAGCGAAAACTTCATTGTTTGTATTAACTCCCCTGCCTCTTGAAGTCCGCCTTGAACTCGCTTGCATTCAAATATTGTTATTATTTTGTGTGTTGTATACAATAAAAACTTTATTCGCTTTGTACATCAAACATGTTACACATATTATTGTATAAGGGGGGGGTTTTTTTTTGTATAAAGATGGTTCGGTTTTACATGGCTAAATTCATATGTAAAACAGTGCATTTTAGTTTTGGAAAAAACACTAAATATAATATATAGTTGGAACTCTATTCAAAAATATTCGAGTATAAAAGGGGATTCTTTCTATTCACTTTGGATTCTTATAAGTTATTGGACGTTTTTTGCTTAGGTTTCTGGTTGGTTTTTGTCTGTGTAAATGGTCACTTAACTAAGGCACTTTCTTAGCAGATGTTTATGCAATCCAAATGGTGTTTTGTCGTTTGTATGTTGTCGCAGGTCTGAGTGGTTCAGGTAGTCGAATCTAATAGTAATATGTATTTTAAGCACTATCTAAATTATACCAAAAAAGCTTCTCTAATTAAGGCACGAGTGTAACATTTCGTTGCTAGCATTAAGACACGAGCTCTGCGACTTTACACAAATGGTGTACTGTGTATGAGAGTGTAGGGTGGTTGTGATTGTGGTTGTGGAAGGGCGGGCTGCGGGCGACTGCCGGGTGCTGACTGCTGTTAATTGAGCGAAAAAGTTTTGTTTGATATGCAAATTGTCATATACTCTACATAAAATAAATGAGTCACTTTTTGAGCGTCTTTTTTGTTTGTTTGCATAAATACTGCAGAAGGAAGAAGATTTCATTTCGGATACATTCAGTCTTCGTTCAGAACTTTTGTTGTTGTTGTCGTATTGGATGGATGATTCATAAGTACCAAGAAACTGATGTGATGCTGGGTGTCATAAGGGTATTCTCCGACTGTCTGTCGTCGTGGTCGTTGTCTGGCAATTGCATAAACATTTCCAACTAAAAAAAAACTAAATTTAATTATTATGGTGAGAATTCTTCGTAGAAGTTTTTGTTGTGTGTGTCGTGGGGACGGAATGTTGTTTCTGTTGCTGCTGCTGCCTCCGCTGCTACTTGTTGCTTGCAGCTAAAAAACAAAGAAGGTTAAGCCTGTGTGTCCATGGCTTAGATATGCCACACACTTACCCGTAACTATCCGCGAACCAACTCGAAGCGTGTCTGCGACTCTTTGAACTGCAGGCGCTTGCGTTGCTGCACATGCGCTTCGCTGAGGAATAAGGTGGCCGCCACCAGGGTCAGCACGGAGCCCACGCAGGCGAGTATGAAGGACCAGCCGAACCAGTTGTTGGCATGCTCCGGCATCCAGCCATTCCGATTGCCAAAACCGGCAAACACAATGACAGCAATGGCTGCACAGACGCCAGCGCCGAGCAGCACATAGCCTACGCATCGGATGAGTGTAATGAAATGCTTCTGGTCGGGTCCAGCGCACAGGAAGAACACCAGCACACCAATGGCACTCAGCAGCATGCCGATGAAGGCGAGCGTGTAGAAGAATTGTGTGGCAATCATGAAGGCTGGCAGCAGGAATCCGCGTATCTCATCGTAGCCCGTGGTAAATGGGTCATACACCCAGCGACAGCCCACAAAGAAGCGTCGCTGGCTGTCGTCGTTGACATCCGGCAGCGAACGGAAGCAGTGCACCCACAGGCCCAGGCGATCCAGCTTGGCGCCCGTAATGCGGTAATCACTGACCAGCCAACTGGGCGTTGCAAAGGCAATGGCGATGAAGGCGAATGCAAAGATGAAGACGCCAACGCCACAGCTGCCGGAGAGGGTGCGTCGCTTCATGTTGACGGTGTGGTGTTGATGCTGATGTGGGTGGGTGGGCAGATGCTCCTGGGAATCCTCGCGTGCAAAATGAGACGACTTTTGCATGCTTTGTATGGGAATTTGGATATTAATTTCGCTGATTTCGATGGAATGTTTGTTTGTTGGGCTTTGGGTGTGGACTAGGGATGGGCTGTTGTATGTAAATTGGTATCGATAGCAATAGAGCAGGGTTGCAGTTCAAATTGTGTTAACATGTGCGCTTAACAGTACACTGTTAACATTAGCTGTTGGGCTGCTGGCCGCACGCTGGCGCCACATGCATTTAAATTTAATTAGATTAACAAATTTGATTAATTCGACTACTTGTAGTCCCGAAAGATATGCAAATTTACCAAATATGTATAGCAAAGATCTCCAGCTAAATGTGTGTACATTTTCTGCTCTCTAATACACATATTTTACACGATACATCCGATTTAAAAGGTAAATCCGTTCAATTTTGGTAAAATAAAAACAGAATCTGGTTTATATTCTTCGTTAAAAACTTAAAAACTAGAAGGCCTGTCCAATGTAAATGCTAAATGTGCGTCTGGAAGACATAATCTCGCAATCCTAAACTCTCTAATTCAAGGCAGCAACTGACTTTTGGGCAGCATCATCCAAATCGCTGGCCGTTTGGATGGGCAGTCCCGAGTTCTTCAGAATCTCGCGTGCCTTGTCCACATTCGTTCCCTCCAGCCTGACCACCAAAGGCACATTCAGCTTTAACTTCTTGGAGGCAGCCACAATGCCATTGGCAATGGTGGCACAATTGACGATGCCTCCAAAGACATTCACGAGGATGCCCTTGACTTTCGGATCGGCTGTGAGAATCTCAAAGGCCTTGGCCACCTGCGACTCATTGACGCCGCCGCCGACGTCCAAGAAGTTGGCCGGTGAGCCGCCATTCAGCTGAATGATGTCCATGGTGGCCATGGCCAGGCCAGCGCCGTTCACCAGGCAGCCAATATTTCCATCCATTGCCACATAGTTGAGGTTGTACTTGGCTGCCTCCACCTCACGGGGATCGGCCTCCTCCTCGGTGATGTCCATGTCAAAGATATCCTTCTGCCGGAACTGGGCGTTGTCATCAAAGTTTAGCTTGGCATCCACCGAGATGACCTCGCCCTTGTCCGTCTCCGCCAAAGGATTGATCTCAATCTGCACGGCATCCACCGACTTGAACAGAGTGTACAGCTTCTGAATCTCCTCAGCGCAACGCTTGACGGTGTCACCCTTGAACTCCAGAAATTTGGCCACCTCAATGAGCGTGGCCTCCGGTATGGGCTTGTCAATGTCCAGGGGCACAGTGAGCAGCTTCTCGGGTGTCTCCTCGGCCACAGCCTCGATGTCCATGCCGCCAGCCGGCGAGGCAATCAGCACGGGTCCATTGTGTTCGCGATCCAGCAAGATGCAGAGATAAGTCTCCCGTGTGATGTTCACACTGCGAGCGACCATCACTTTGTTGACCAGAATACCCGATTTTGGTGTCTGTTTGGTTATCAGTCGATTGCCGATCATCTGTTTGCTCAGCGAGAGCACATCGCTCTTGCTGCCGAATATAGAGAGTGGAAAAAGGTCAATTAATTGTGTTATCTGCGGCGCCGGGCGCCGCTTCTATATCTTACTTTGAGGTTATGTGCACGCCTCCCTTGAAGCCATTGTCGAATGTTCCCTTGCCACGGCCGCCGGCCAGTATCTGCGCCTTCACCACATACTCGGGACACTCTGCACACGATAATTAGCAACCAATTAATGCGGTGATTACATAAACCTCGACCGGTTCTTACCGAAAGTCTTGACAACATCCGCGTCGGCTTTGGAGTTATCCAAGACCTTGAATTGTTGTATGGCCACTCCGTATTTTTGCAGCAGATCCTTGCTCTGGAACTCCAAGAGATTCAGCTGACGCACCTGCTGCTGCAGCAGCAATGGAGTCTATATTGTGGGGGATAAACAAAGAAGACAAAGGTCAACGCTTATTTTCCTTAACAGATGTTTGGGCGCTGGGGGAAACCTTATGAACGAGCTGGCGTGTGCAGGCGGCTGCTTTAATCAGGAACGACATGTTGACTGCACTCGCTACGTTGGATAATTGAGTTCAATTTATTTTTATTGGTGAATGTTTTATGGCCCGATTGTTTAAATAAACGTCGACGCCACCGCCGTTTTTGCTTATCACAAGAGTGCGTGAGGCTGCCAGATCGCTGCACTTCTGCAGTTACATTAACAGAGCACTGTTAGCTGTGCAGCTCTGGTCGTGGCACAGCTGTTTTTGTGTACTTTTTTTCACGTTATCTCTGTGGGCACAGAGAATGACGAATAAACCGCATTTATATGTTTAACGCGAGCGAAATGCCACCCAAAACCACAATACAGCCTGTGCTGGAGGCCCTAGCCAGCGCGAACACACTGCCACAGATACCCATTATCACATCGGTGACATGCTGCTTCGTTTTGGCCGTGCTCTATGTGGGCAGCCTCTACGTGTGGAGCACAAAACACAATCGGGACCATCCGTCGACGATTAAGCGACGCTTTGCCAGCGTCTCGGTGGTGATGCTATTTTCTCCGTTCTTCGTGTGGTACTTCTCATCGCCGGAGCTGCTCAGCGAGGAGTCGTTTGCCAAGTTGCTTGGATTCCGCTGGCACGGATTGTGGCAGGCTGTGGTGATTCCCTATGGCCTGACCATGCTCCTGTTCATGGGACCCATCTTTGTCAACTGCCAAAACGAGTCGATTGGTTCCTACTTTGGTATGTGCTGGGCATGAAACCTCCAAGTGCTGGCTTTACTTCGGATCTCTCTATTTTAGATTTGGACTACTGGCGCGGTTGCCTGCACAACATCATTTGGGTGCGCAATCATGTGATGGCACCGCTCAGCGAGGAGTTTGTGTTCCGTGCCTGCATGATGCCGCTGATACTGCAGAGTTTTACGCCCATGACGGCTGTGTTTATTACGCCGCTCTTCTTTGGCGTCGCTCATCTCCATCACATTGCGGAGCGACTGAGTCTGGGCGTGGAGCTGAGCACCGCCCTGCTGATTGGTTTGTTCCAGTTCATCTACACCACACTCTTTGGCTTCTATTCGGCGTTTCTGTTTGCTCGCACGGGACATATTGTGGCGCCGTTTTTGGTCCATGCGTTCTGCAATCACATGGGACTGCCGGACTTGCAGGATCTCTGGCAGCAGGAGCTGTGGCGGCGTGTGCTGGCCATTGTGCTGTATATAGTTGGCCTGGCAGGCTGGATACTACTGCTGCCCCTGGCCACCAATCCCTCCCTATATGGGAATACGCTCTACTGGAATGTGTAGGAGGATTATGAGTGGAGTTGTGAAGTTTATAGCTAAATTATTTTGTTTTTTCTGACTGTGGCCATAGTATGACACGCGCTCATATGTACTTATTTATGCATATCACACAAATGCCGACTACATATATAAATATATATATATATATCGACAAGTCTTCCGTGCAATATAAATAAATAAATTGCATAAATAAATTAAATTTGACCGCCTTGGGAAGCCCTGGTTTATCGGAGCTGTCCAACACTTGCAAACACAGTGTGCACACACTTAACAACACTGAAGCGGACAACACAATGTTTAGACAATTTGGCTAGCATTCGGGCAGATATGCGATAAATATAAAGAAACGCACAGCAAGGGAGCAACTCAATTAGCTAAGAACGCAAGAGGAACACGAGGAGAGGCCCACGCACACCTGGAGAGGATTAGCGCGAGAGAGTAAGAGCGAGCGACTGTACGTCGTGTGCTGGCTGACTGCTGACATCTCTGGTTCGCATTTTGCCCAGGACAACCAGTCGAGATAGTAATTATAGAACAATTAACTAAGCCTCGCCCCCTTTTCTTACATGCAAACGCACTGCAGCCACGTCAACGCTACTGGCCAGGAGCACTCCATTCACGCACCCAGACACGGAAAACACGTCACCTCACCCACAATGTATTGCCTGCAATGCCTGCTGCCGGTGCTGCTCATACCAAAGCCCACGAATCCAGCGCTGATGGAGACACATGTGATGTTCATAGTGCTGTATCTGGTGGGATTCTTTCTGGAGCGAAAACCCTGCACCATCTGCAGCTTGGTCTTTCTCACTGCCGTCTCGCTGATTTGCTACAGCGGCGTGGGCAACTGCATCTTCTGGGGCAACTGTGAGGGGCATCTGTGTAAAAATGGCTAGAGAAGAACGTCAGAGTCGTCGGAGCGGAGGAGGAGTGCTAATCATAATAATAATTTTAACATGAAATTACGTTCGCGTTGTTACAGCTTTACATCCTAACGAAAACGAAAAACGAAACGATAGAAGATGCAGGAGAAGATAAAGAGAGAGAGAGAGAGAGAGAGAGTAGAGGATAATTTGCACAAAAATACAAAACTGAAAAAATCGGTGATACATGAGTGAGTGAGTCCGACCAGGCGGAAGTGGAAGGAGTTATAGAAAAATGTTGTTCTGTGTGTTGTATTTCCAATCATTTCTAATCAATTGTTGGCCCGAAATCCCCCTCCTCCACCTTTGCTATTTTGCTTACAGTTTTCTTTGTTTCTTCGCGTAATGAATTTAATTTCTTAAGTTCTACAAAAGAAAAACAGAAACGTATTTTACATCACGTAATCCCCGCCCCGCTAAACCATCCCACCCCATTCCCACACTCGTCAATGCAACCTAAAATTAGTCATACATAATATATATATAAATATTAATTATACATACAAACAAAAAGGATAATTGTAAAGAAAAAAGGACTTGTCTGAGGAGAGCCAAAGGAAGCTGCTGCTAACATCGGTTGTTTAAGTCCCTCCCATCCCCCCACTGTTGTCCCTGTCTTTTGTGCACATGCAAATTGTATATAACGGATATACACTGTTATATCTTACACACTGATTATTACTATATACATTATATATATATATATACATAACTGATAAATATACTTTATGTGTGTGTATATTCTTAACTGATTAACAGACGAAAAAATGTTCGATTTTTGCGAATTTGTATGATTTTGAGACGCGATTGAAAACAGCAACAAAAAGCATTGTCTAGAGAAAAATATAGAGAAATAAAATATATAAATGATGCGATTAGTTTATAAATTATATTTTGTGTGGGGTAGGACATGGTAGGATGTAGAATCAGCTTTAAAGCACGCACACGCCTTTGGGTTTGATGTTATAATTTAATAAATTAAGACAATTTTCAGTAAAGTATCTTTGTTTGTTAAAAGAATTATTACTAATGGTTGATTGATTGGTTGATTGAAATTCCTCTTTGTTATCCATCCTACATCAGATCTAATATTAGGGTCAAGATTTATTAGCGACAGTACGGCCCCAAGCTAGGTACGGCAACAAAAGGTTAAGAACTTGGAAAATCTATTCGCTTTTGGTACATAATTGACATTCTAGCCCTGGATTGAAGTTTGAGTTGTTATACATGTAGTGAAATAACAACAAAATGTCATTGAAACTGGTTTTCAATGTCTATCGCAATATTTACAATTCTTCTCAGAATACTCTCAATTCAACAGAATTTTGTTTTGCGTCCAATAACGTTGACCACGCATTTGTTTGTTTGGCGATAATCAATAGCAAACATGAGTGTTTATTCTGTAGAAGGCTCTCGAGTGGGTTCCATATCTGTGACACATGTGTTGCCATGTTGAAATATAATCTGTATGCTGTATATCTCGATGTTCGTAGAATCTGCAATAAGATCTACCAAACTGAAATGGAAATTTTTCCACTAGATCAATTTGTCACAAACAGACGGGCATTTCCTTTGAATAACAACAAACAACTAGACGCCCGGAAGTTCCCTATCCTAAAAGCCAGCCCTCGAACCTACGGAAAATAACACAAATATTCCCACTTTGATTTCCAATTATCCACAATTTTATTCGCTTCAAAATGTGTGTGTTGTGTGTGTATATAGTAAATATATTTTATGTATAACAAATGTACAAATTTTCTCGCATTAGTTTTATTTTGCTGCTTAAGGATTGCTTTTTATCTTTTTTGGAATTTGATAATATCAAATGGGTCGGATCAGATCTCGGATCAACAACAGATCTCAGCAAACGCGCGCTCTCTTAATTTACTAAACAACTACACAAGACAATTAATTAATTAAAAATACGATAATAATTTATGTACAAAAAATTTCCATCGGATTTATTTGTGTTCGTGTGTGTGTGTGTGTGTGTGTGTGTGTGTGTTTGTGAGAAAAACAAAACTGTAGACAATTCAAAACAACAAAAAAAGGTACTGAAAGAAAAACTGTATTGGAAAAACTTTCACAATTTTCACATTCATTTCACATTTTTGGAGATTTCTCAGGAGATTTTTGTTTTTGTTTTTTTCTGTTTTTGATTGTGGAATGTTTGTTGTTGGTTCGTTAGACACGCAGATACATAAGGATATATCAGATATATCGGATATACATAAATCATATATAAAATATACAAATATACGAGGGGGAGACATATAGAAGAAGGCCACAAAATCTGTTTTTGTTTTTGGAAAATTTGATTGTTGAAAAGTTTTTTTAAACATTTATTTTGGTGTTTTTTAAGGGGGGGGGCTGCTACAAATTGAATTCGATCTTGGGTTTGGGCGGGGGTTTAGCTGACTCCTTGGCTCCTCCTTCTACTCCTCCTGGGTTTCTCGTCGAGATTCGATTCGCAGAGCAGCAATCACAGGCGTGGTCTTCTTGTTACTTAAACGGAACGAGGCTGGACGACTGAATAAAAGATAAGGAGAGTTTAGTTGGCGCATTCATTGGCTCTCCAGAATCTCATTATACTCACAATGTGGTCGCTGCGACTCTTCGGCGGCTGCTCCTGCCTCAATCGCCTGCATCATGGGCACGGGAATGCGCACGGGCTGGGCCAGGCTGCGGCCATAGACCATGCGGCCGAACTGCAGCTGTGGTGGCTGATCGGGCATGGGTGGCGTCATGGTATCACGTGGCTGCTCCGGCAGTGGCTGCAGAATCAAACGCTGCAGGCGCATCTGTGGCTGCTGCTGCTCCGGCTGCTGCTGCTGCTGCTGCTGCTGCTGCTCGCTGGCCTCCTGCTGGTGCTGCTCCTGCTGGTGCTGCTCCTGCTGCTGCTGCTGCTGCTGCTCGGGCTGCGACTGCGTCTGGGACTGGGATTCGGTGGTAGCCTGCTCGGAAGAGCTGGACGAGACATCAGCGCGTTCTTCCTCCTCGCTGGAGGCGTTGCCCTCATTGGAGTCGGTGTTCTCCTCGGCGGCCAAGCGACGCAGCTCATCGGTGATGCGATCCTCGGCCATGCGCTGAATGCTGCGCAGATCATCGGCGGTGATGCCCACACGCTGCAGAGCCATGCCCAGGGGCATGTGCTGGATCTGGATCTGTGGCATCTCGCGCTGCTGCTGCTGATGCTGCATCTCGCGTTGCTGCTGCATCTCACGCTGCTGCTGCATCTCACGCTGCTGCTGCATCTCGCGTTGCTGCTGCATCTCACGCTGCTGCTGGATCATCTGCTGCTCGCGGTGCTGGGCGGGGATCTGCATGGGCACATCATCGGCGACGTGGATCTCGCGGAAGGGCAGCTGCTGCATGTGGATGCGCAGGGTCTGGATCTTGGGCTGCTGCTGCTCCTCGGAGGACTCCATGCGCGGGGCCTGCATCACCTGTGGCGGCATGGGGGGACGCATGGGCAGGTGCTGGAATGGAGGCGGCAGCTGTCGGATGATGATGGGTCCCTGCTGCTGGGGCAGCTGCTGGTGCTGGTGCATCTGCATGGCTGGGGGCATCATGCGCTGTGGCATGTGGGTCAGCGGCATCTGGTCGGGCATGCGGCCGAAAGGAATGGGCACACGCTGGAAGGGAATGAACATGGGACGCAGTGGCTCGGCATCCTCGTCAGAGTCCTCCTCCTCCTCGCGCTGACGCTTGGCCTCCTTCTCCTCCCGACTGGCCTCATCGCCACCATCGCAGAAGATCGAAATGCGTTCGCCGGTGATGCGGGCCTTCTTGGGATCTGTGGTGAGGTTCACGCCGAATGGCAGGGCCACCGTCTTCGAGGGCGAGTCGACAATCTCCTCGGCATGCTTGCGCTCCACCACGCAGTTCATGCGGGATCTATAGGAGATTCAGGACAGTTATATAAAGGTTCAGGCTTCGACAAACAAACACAAGCTTACTTCTTGTTGTTCCGCAGAATGGCGGCGGCCAGGTCGCTCAAGTCCAGCTCGAGCGGCATTTTGCCGGGCAACTTCTGCATCTCGTCGGTCTCATCGCTCTCCGAGTAGGAGTTGTCCTTGTCCGAGGTGTTGTCCTTGTCCAAAGAGTCCTCCTTGGCGGACTTGCGCATATCCTGGTCGAGATCCTGCAGCTCAGACTCATCGGCAGAGTTGGGTCCGCCCAGCAGAGGTTCAGCACGGGGCAGTTCCTGAAAGGGTGGCAAAAGATGAGGGAGATTATTAGAGGGGAAACTTCTGGAAGAGTTTAGAATTGTTGGGAAATGTTTTAAAATTAATGAAATTATTCCTTGTCGTTGACTTTAAATCTCTTCTGTCTTCTACTCTTGCAAACTCCAAGCTTTCTTCCTATGCCAAATTAGTTCTACGACGAAATGCCAAGCCAAAGTTTGACCTCTCCATCCTCTTTGAGCGAGTCTCCACAGCAATAGAATAGGCAAACGACAAGAATAACGGACCCAACGGACGGAGAAACCAACAGCCAAAAAGATCACTGAGATTCGATATACATGTGTGCCCTCCCATGTACGGATTTTATCTCCCACAAACCCTCATTATCTACACCTTTAATTTGTTAGCCAAATAGGAAGTCTTATATCATCTTCTGTCATCCACAAATCGTTATGAAAATTACTCAAAAAATGGTTGACTGTAAAAGCAATTGTTCAATTTTTCAATTTTCTAGTAGTAGTTTTCTTGACGGTGACTGTTTTCCACTGGGTTTCGGTGCTTCGTGCTCGAAACAATGTGAGATCCGATGAGCAGCGTTGTGGCAGAGTCATTTGCCTGGCGGAGATGTGACCCCAACCTACATACGGACTCTCGTCAGAGTCGACTGCGACTGAAACCAAGAGTAAAATGCCATCGAAATAAACTTGTTTGTTGGGTCTGTCGACTCTCGAGAAGTCTAAACAAAACAGCCAAACAGAAAATTACATAATCACAGCATTTCCCCCCCCCGAACAAATGTCTATTTGGGCTCTAGCTGTGTGTATCTGGTGGGGATACGTGGCTAAGCATACTTCACGCCCAGCCACAAAACAAAACAGCAATGAAAATACAATTTATTTTATTTTGAAGCTCATTAATGCCAAGCCATGAAAAAGGGAGGCTGACAGAGGTACTCTACAGAGAGAGATAGAGAGAAGTGTTTGTGGCATGGATAATGCCTTATGTATCCGGTTTGTGGATCACTTATTTTGCAGGTCATTGTGTACTTGACAAATGCAAATACAAAAAAGAGGTTGACATTGAAACGCAGAACTGAAGACACTTCCATCTGCATAATGGATCATTTTCTGTTTACATTTTGAAACTTAACGTTGAACGGTGTAGATTTATCTCGGATTTCAGCTACATTGATGATTTAATTGATTGTCAAGTGATTCAAACAGCAGAATGTGTGCTTTGGGTTCTCTTTAAATTGTTTTAAATAAAGATTCTGAACAGTTTCTTTAGAATTTAATTCGATTGAAGCTTTCGAATTCAATTCCCAGACGTAGTTTATAGTTCCTAAAGTCTCTTGAGTGAAACTCTGAAGTCATTCTCTTTTCTATGTATTTTGTTTTGTACTTGTTAATTTTTACCCCTGCCTAAAGCTGCATCTAATAATGAGTCTCAAAGTGCTAGCATTTATTTTGCAATGTTTTTTTTCCATAGTTAAAGCAAAGTTTAAAGTCTCCAGACTGTACTTTTCTAGGTACAGTTGAGCACAGTGATAACAATTGAAAGTTAATTTA